ATTTCCTAAACTAAATTAACAATTGCTTTAGACAACCAAAAGGGCCAGCGGCCACCAAATCGGCCCACGACCGACGCGGCCTCAGCGTGGCCCACGACCGGCGAGGCGGCGCAGCCCGCAGGTGCACAACGCGTGGCCCAGGCGCGGGCGGCACCAGGCCGGCCCAAACGGGGCGAGCATAGCATAAGCGGCGCGGACGCGAGCGGCCCAGGCGCGATGGCAGCAGGCCGGGCCAGCCAGAGCACGGCCCGCGTGCGCTGACGACTTTTACAAAAAGACCCCAAGATTTCCTTCTAACTACAATAGGTCCAACTACTATTTTGTACACCCACTGACAAGTTCATTTACCCCCCCTAACTGTCACCTAATTCACGCGCGTACGTCCCTAAAGGCAGAGCACCATGGCGGGGATGATCCGACGGCGGCCAAGACCGGTCGGGGAGGGCACGGTGGCGGCAGAGGGGTGGCCGCCAGGGCGTAGGGCCACTGCATGGTTCACACAACCACGCAGGACCGAGACGGCCCGCGACGGCGTGCAGGGCATGTCTACCCACGTGCAGACATGGATGGCGGCAATGACACGCGCGCGCTCTGGCGCGAGATGGCTATGGCAGAGGTTAAACGGGGAGTCAGGGAAGGAACAGTGACTCACCACGAACACCGTTGTGGAGTTGGTTAGGGCAGGACTGGCTCGAGGTGGACTGGCCATGTACGCCAGCACTGGACGGCGGTGCCCGAGCAAGGAAAAACCGCGTCAGGTCCCTGCTCGCGCCGTTCCTGACCAAACCGAGGTGAGCAACAGGACGAGGGAACCAAGGCGAACGCAAAGGAACGACTAGCTGGACCTTAACCGAGGAATAGGGCCTCATCCCCAATCGTGCTATGCTCCGGCGGTGAGCTGACCGGCGGCGATGGAACGCCGAAATTGGCCATCGCTAAAGCACGTCGAAGTTGGCCAGCTCCGTAACCTAGCTACTAACGCAAAAAATTGACCCAAGACGGCCCATGCGTCACGAATTTGAATGGCGCCCACCGACAGCAGCACGAGGGCCCGGCATGGCATAGCGAGCAGCAGTGCACGACACAGGGCCATTCGACTCGCTGTGGCATGAGGGCGACAAGGCGGCTGCGCTATGAGACAACAGATATGGTGGCTACTCGACGGTTAGGTAGTTCGCACGGTGGGGAAGAAGCCACGTCGCCCTGACGGTGGCCTCGCGCGCGGCAGCGTGCGTGCAGCGGCACAGCATCGCATCAGCATGACACGGCACGCACGGCACATGCACGACACAGCACCGCAAGGCGACGGCAGCATCACGACAGCCCACGGCGCGGCCTACGCGCGTCGACCCGTGGCCTCACGCCGCGACAGCGGCGCACGCGGGTGCGGTGATCGTGCCCATGGCTGAGCCCCGCTGGCCCGGTTACATGCCCCGCCGAAGCCAGGGAGGGAGAGAGGGAGGGAGGCGTTGCTGGAGCCAGCGAGAGAGGGAGGCGCCGCCGGAGCAGGTGCAGCAGGGAGGGAGGCGCCACCGGCCTGGTTCGCTTTCGTAACTAGTGGTTGGTGGGTAATTTTTTTTATTCAAAAGCTAGTAAAAGTAGGAGGAGAGATACTGTTGGATTTGTACTGTAGTGAAAGCTGCTTTTGAACCAGAGCAGCTGGAGCTTTTAGGCCATTTCGTTAAGCTTTTGACTTTTAGGAACAAAAGTAACAGCTAAGAGTCCAACCAAATATGGCGTAAATAAGGTAAACTACACTCTTTCTCCCACGAGAAAATTGCTATTTCGTCATTATCAAACATGGGCTTCGCTCTTTTGCCATCCCATAAATGGGACTCGCCCATCTGCCATTTTCAAACGCGACACACCGCCAGAATGCCCTGGACCAGTATATGTACCGTATTTTGATTTTGAATTTTTTTTTCGCTATTTCCTTTCACCTTTTACCCCTCACCCATCCCCATCAGAACTGAGATCTCCACTCCTCATCTTCACTCCTCAGAACCTTATCCTCGGGACTCACAGTCGAGAGAGAGACACGAGACGGAGTCGTTGACTGCCACCGCCGACGCCTTCGGCGCGACCTCCCCGACACCCCCACGCCACCCCGCGACCAGCACGCCACGGCCGCCACGACGCTACAGGCCAGCCCGCTTATTCTCTAAGATGTATCCTGCAGCCAGAGCTTATAGAGAAGAAGTTCACCGGTACTTTTTCAAGTCAGTTGTTGAAGCTAGTCCTACTATTTTGGTTTGGCTGCAGGCTCACCATTATAAGCTGTGGATGAGATCTGCCTTCAACCCTGCTATTAAATGTGATTGTATCACTAATAACCTTGCTGAGTCGTTTAACAATTGGATCAAGGACTGGAAGGACCTTCCTGTTGTGGAGCTCGCAGACAAAATCAGAGAGATGATAATAGTTTTGTGGGCAAAAAGGAGGAAAATTTTAGAAAGGCTTAATGGTAAGATCCTCCCAGCAGTCATACATCAGTTGAATGTAAGAACAAGAGGACTTGGGCACTTGACTATCGTGGATGGTGGATATTCTGCAGCAGAAATTTGGGACACCTCAAACACTCACAATAGACATGTTGTTAAGTCATATCTGCATGAGTGCACCTGTCTTGAGTGGCAGCATACTGGTAAGCCTTGCCAGCATGCTCTGGCTTTGATAACAAGTGTGCAATCTGCCAATGTGCATATGGACGATTTTGTGCACGAGTATTACTCTATAGACAGGTTCAAGGCAGCCTACAAGAGACTCATAGTTCCAAATTATCACATCAGGCAAAAAGTAATGCATTGTGCCATATGATCGTCTCTCCTCTTGTTTTTTTCTTCTTGGTCACTGGATCATTTATGTGAGAACCTAGCTTTGTATGACAGTCCCAGATGATGATACCAGACAAGATTATACTTTGTAACGAACATAGCTAGACTTTTAATTTCCATTTCCTACAGTGCAAAGTACTGGAACCATAATGTATCATAATAGTATTGTTTAGCTGAACTTCCAAATATTTAAGACTTTCTGTGACCAAATTCATTGCTGTAGAGTAGTTCGAACGGCACAAACCACTTCACATGTTCACATGAGTAGGTTTGAGCACTTTCGATGCTTTCTCCAATTAACATAGGAGCAAATTGTAATTGCCCACTGTCCAAAAGGCATGTACATATCTTGAAATGGGCAGGCATTCATCAGCCAAAAGCTACTGCTCTTACAGAATAGAAAATCAACTCTGGAAGGCTATTTCCAAGATGCATTTATTTATGCTAAATGCCAAAGCTTCAGGCATTACACGACGAGGATGTTGTATGAGCTTATGTGAAATCATTACATTTCGGTCATCTGCAAAATGACATACTCTGAAATGAAATCGACTAACAGAATACTCAGGCTCTAAACCATCAGATGAGATGATTGGAAAACAACTTCATTCCATAGTGCTTACATGTCATTGCAACACATCTACTGGTCATTTACTAACCAGGAGTCTTACAGCACAACATTACAACACACTTGCTTCACTTGGTAATGAGCACTACCACACCTAGAAGAACTAAGACAACAATTACTAAACACAGCACCACCAACAATTGGACCAGACCAATAAGCTTGTCCATCTTGAGGTCCATCCTCCCCTTCATGCTTGTCCATCTTGAGATCCATCCTCTCTTCTTCATACAGCCTGCTTTTAAGCTTCATTTCGACCAAGCCTTTAGATTCACCATTACCTTGGTATGGCAATGCTTTAGTTTCACCATGACCTTCATATGGCACTGCAGCTTGCAAGTCTTCTTTAAGCTTCTTTGCGACTACTTTCTTGTAATCTGCCAACCAAACAAAGAATGGACATTTCTTCTCCGCCTGTGGATGATAACACATAACACAACTTATTTATCCAAACCTTGACAAAGTAACTAGTTCATTTAGTTAGATACGACAAATATAGCAATATATACTCATATATTCATTGTAGTTTACGCATTTGAAGAAGACTTCGCCTTTGTTCTGCCAGGATTTGCATTCCACTACTTTATCACCGCGTTTTGGGCATGGAATCAGGGGGACCCCACTAGGACCAACTGGATACTGGGAAAGGGCAACTGTTGGGATGAACAACGAACCAGAAGATGGCTCGCCCATAGCAGGCTAGTGTTGGGGAGAGCGTCGATGCGTCGCTCCATGGCGGGCTGGCTGTGGCGTGGATGGGGCGGCCGCGACGGCTGGCCTGGAGGAGATCTTGGCCTAAAGCGTCGACCTTGTCATGCATGGGCATGCACGTGGAAGCGTCGGCCGACACGCCACTACGGGGCGGTCGCGTCAGAAGGTTGTGGTGGCTACTAAGATGTCGAGTGGGCGGTGGGGGTGTCGGGAGGCCAGGCCAAGGCGCCGGTGATGGCGATCAATGACTCGTCTCTCGCTCTCTCTCGACCGTGAGTCCTGAGGATAAGGTTCCGAGGAGTGGAGATGAGAAGTGGAGATCTCGGTTCTGATGGGGATGGGTGAGGGGTAAAAGGGGAAAGGAAATAACGAAAAAAAATTCAAAATCAAAATACAGTACATATACTGGTCCAGAGCATTCTGGCGGTGCGTCGCGTTTGAAAATGGCAGACGGACGAATCCCATTTACGGGATGGCAAAAGAGCGAAGTCCACGTTTGATAATGGCGAAATAGCAATTTTCTTTCTCCCACCGAGCCATTTCGTGGCCGCCGACCATACACCGTGTCCATCCAAGGTTGAGATTCAACACCGCAGCGAAATACAGCGCCCACGAGCCCCTTCCACCACCGCAAAACTGACTTCCCACTGCTATTGGGGCCTGCAGACCCGGTCCCTATGGCATCCTCTCACAGCTCTCGAAACCTCATGTACACGTAGCAGGGCCACCTCTCTCCGGAGACAACCCATCCCTCTCGCCTCTCTCCCAAGGCCGAGGGCTCCTCTCTCTCTACCGTCCCCGCTCGATCCAATCGCCTCGCCGCCGCCGCCATGGCGTTCCTCGCGCGGGCTCTCCGCCAGTCCAACTCGCGCCTGTCGTCGCGCTGCCCCGCCGTGGCTGCGTCCTGCCGCTGGATCTCCCCGACCGCCGCCGCGGGATCGCCGGAGGCCGGCGCGGCGGTGGCGCCGGCCGACCCGGAGCTGCCTCCGCCGCGGGAGCCCGTTGGCGGCGCCCTCGTGGAGCTTCCGCCCAATCCGGAGGACGCGCTCGAGGTGTTCGTGGACGGCCACGCGGTGCGGATCCCCAAGGGGTTCACCGTGCTCCAGGCCTGCGAGGTCGCCGGCGTCGACATCCCGCGTTTCTGCTACCATAGCCGCCTCTCCATCGCCGGGAACTGCCGTATGTGCCTCGTCGAGGTCGAGAAGTCGCCTAAGCCCGTCGCATCCTGTGCTATGCCCGCGCTCCCAGGTCAGCCGCGGTCACTCATGCGCCCCCTTTCATTTCGTCGGCGGTTTTCATGTTCTTGCGTGCTGTTCTGATATTAAAACTGGGTAATGTTGGTCTGCTGCGCTTGTTTATTAGCTAGCGTTGTGTGCCTGAAATGCTCAGATCCATTAATTTCCTTGGTACCTCACTGCCTCTTAGGGTTCTGTGTAGATTTACTTGTTTGATTCCCATACCATTCGAAATGGTTGTTGAAACTAGATACCTCAAATCGCTGTACCTTGGATTAGTGAATTTTGGAGTACTGAATGATCATTCTTGCTGGATTAGGGATGAAGATTAAGACAAACACCCCAGTGGCGAAGAAGGCGAGGGAGGGTGTCATGGAGTTCTTGCTGATGAACCATCCACTGGACTGCCCAATCTGTGATCAGGGTGGGGAGTGCGACCTCCAGGATCAGTCTATGGCATTTGGTGCTGATCGCGGTCGGTTCACTGAGATGAAGCGGTCAGTTGTGGACAAGAATTTGGGTCCCTTGGTTAAGACAGTGATGACTCGTTGCATCCAATGTACAAGGTGATGCTTTTTTGCTTGTTGATAAATATCTATTGTTATTGTTTCAGGTGTTTTTTCAGGCCTATCCTGTTTCTATGTGTATTCTGTAAGGGCTTCATTCTACAAGCACCCTACTAATCTATTCATGCTTCATTCTACTGGTTTCTTAATTTGCACTGTCATCGTGTGCTGTAGAAAAATTGTTTTGCTACTTGTGCAAGCTCTGTACCTTGGCTGATATGTGATGCTATTTTCTTCAAAATTGCAGGTGTGTCAGGTTTGCTACTGAGGTTGCTGGAGTTCAAGACCTTGGTATGTTAGGTCGTGGCAGTGGTGAAGAAATTGGAACATATGTTGAGAAACTTATGACAAGTGAACTATCTGGAAATGTTATTGATATCTGCCCTGTTGGGGCTCTTACATCCAAGCCATTTGCATTTAAAGCTCGGAACTGGGAACTGAAGGGCACCGAGACTATTGATGTTACTGATGCAGTGGGATCCAACATAAGAGTTGACAGCAGAGGACCTGAAGTTATGCGCATTGTTCCACGTCTCAATGAGGTTTGTTTTTCTCCATTTCTCGTACAATTTTGATTCTTTTGTTTGTTTTGTTGAGGGTTGTTCATGTGACCTAATGCTTCGTGGTGTATCGTTGATTCCATTTAATCTACTATTCTATATCTTTGAGAAGACAGGTTATTATGTTAATATGTTTAGTGAACATCACTTTTTCTGTTCCTTGCAGGACATTAATGAGGAATGGATATCGGACAAAACACGGTTTTGTTATGATGGTCTGAAGAGGCAAAGACTAAATGACCCTATGATCCGTGGTCCTGATGGCAGGTTTAAGGCCGTGACGTGGCGTGATGCTCTTGCAGTTGTTGCTGAGGTTTTGCATCAAGTTAAGCCAGAAGAAATAACTGGAGTTGCTGGAAAACTTTCTGATGCAGAATCCATGATGGCACTGAAAGATTTTGTTAACAGAATGGGTTCAGATAAGGTGCTATGTGAGGGAAATGGTCCCAATCCTCGAGCAGATCTGCGATCTAACTACCTAATGAATACGAGCATTGCTGGGCTTGAAAAGGCTGATGTATTCCTTTTGGTTGGCACTCAGGTAAAATTCTCCTCAGTGCTTAGTGCCATTTTCTTGATTGCTACTTGCATTCTCTGAAATATACCACCATTATATTGTATAATCACTGGATCTTGTGCTGTTGGCATGCTTTTGCAATAGCTATGTGGTGCTTAGGAATTAAAATGGGGCTGATGTTCTTGAAACAAAAGTTATTGTTGACTCAAATTTTCTAGCATATGGAGACACCATTATTGTACTAATTTATCAGGAAAAGTTATAAACTGAACTGGTTAGTTTGGCGTATCATGTTTACAAGTGCTACTATTGAACTTTTTGTCTCCATATGCTGCCTTTTAGTCACGTCATGCTGATTTGAAGTTTTACTGTGAATGTAATATTATGATGACATATTCGTTTTGTGCCATGGAACAGCCAAGGGTGGAAGCTGCTATGGTTAATGCCAGGATTCGGAAGACTGTTAAAGCAACACAAGCAAAGGTGGGCTACATTGGTCCTCCAGCTGACTTCAACTATGACCATGATCATCTTGGCACAGGACCACAGACCCTTGTTGAGATTGCTGAGGGTCGTCATCCCTTCTGCTCAGTACTGCAATCTGCGAAGAACCCTGTTATCATTGCTGGAGCTGGATTATTTGAACGGGAAGACCAAGATGCCCTGTTCTCAACAATTGAAACTGTAGCCAAGAAGTTCAATGTGACGAGACCAGACTGGAATGGCCTTAATGTCCTGTTGCTGCATGCTGCACAGGCTGCAGCTCTTGATCTTGGGCTTGTTGCTAATCCTGCTGAGAGCATCAAGTCAGCAAAGTTCTTGTATCTGATGGGAGCCGATGATATAAGCCTGGACAAGCTTCCAGACGATGCATTTGTTGTTTATCAAGGACACCATGGTGACAAGGCTGTCTACAGGGCCAATGTTATTCTGCCATCTTCAGCATTCAGTGAGAAGGAAGGCACCTATGAGAATACTGAAGGATGCACCCAGTGGACCATCCCAGCTGTTCCTACGGTTGGTGATGCTAGGGATGACTGGAAGATCATCCGCGCTCTTTCTGAGGTTGCTGGGGCTCAACTGCCTTACGACAGTCTCTCAGCTGTGAGGGACCGGATTAGTATGGTTGCGCCAAATCTAGTACATGTAGACGAGAGGGAGCCATTCACAATCTCTGCTGAGGTTAAGCCGCCTGTAAAGCAACAAGTCAGCTCGACACCATTCAAAACTGTTGTTGAGAACTTCTACATGACTGATGCAATCACTCGAGCTTCAAAGATAATGGCCCAATGCAGTGCAACCTTGCTGAAGAAGTGAGAATTGCACACCTCCAAGCTAATCTTCAGCAAACAACTTCTTAGTCCCCTTTTTTCCTTGCTACGAGTTTCACCACCCGTTGCTTGTTTTCTTGGGAGGTTGGTGTATAATTTGGACTGCCTCTAGATTTTCAGAGCAGCAAAACCTGATCTGTATGAGAAGAGCATACTCAATAAGCTTGTTGCCTCCATTGAATCATCATACAAGTGCCACAAGCAAATGATTTTGCCTTTTTAAATATTTGCCCCCTCTGCTTGGTTGTAATATGCATTATGCAACTTGCGAAAGCTAGCAAAGTACATCATTAAGTTGTTGAAAGGATTTAGGTGAACTGTTCTATTTCTTCTTTGCTTAATTTACCGGATTTTACTGGTGCCCTTAGGCTTTGTTTGGATGTTATCGGATTTATCTCAGTCCACAAGTGTTGGGGTGGATTGAGGTGAAAATTTAGTTCAAGTTTTACTCCAATCCACCTCAACTCATATGAATTGATACAAATCCAATTACATTGAACCAAGGCCTTCAAGATTTTTTAAGAACAGCCTTGCAAGACTATTGGCTTGTTCCACGATCACATTTTGTGATAGCATTTGACGATAACTGAAAGATGTTTTGTGTTTCCTAACAAAAACTCAGTTCTTAGTTTCTTACCTTGTTGCAACATCTGAACTGTCTTTGAGAACTAAATTTTTCTTAACGAGTGTTTGCCAGCAGAGACCGAGACCACTCGCAAAGTATAGCTAATTTCTTCGTCTCGAACTTGCCAGTAAAAACTTAGAGAAACTCCGATGGTGTATATTTGTCTTGGAGTCTAAATTTAGATTTTTTTTAGGGAAAACAGGTCTCCAACAGGTGTTATATCCAGTAATCCAAAATAAGAAGCCATGTATCCTGTACTTCTCGCTATCTACACGCCGCTATCTAGAAATAACACGCCGCGGCTGCTCGCTATTCCTCTTCCCTGGGTGAATTTCTGTTCGGCTCTCCCCTCCCCACATGAATTTCTGTTGTCGTTGTCCAGAAATAGCATGTTTTTAAATATACAAGAGGCAAAATATTGACTATTAGATTTAGACGAACTCAAGGTTGCTCTTGCTATACTAAATTGCTGGAAACCCGAAAGGCAACACCAGGCACCCCGCAGGCCCGCACCCACTGTATTTAGGCGCCACTCGCGTCCTCGTCCCTTCACTGCCAGGCTGCAGAAACGACGACCATTAGTGACAGGCTGACAGCGCTCAGGCGGTCAGGCCGCGCCTTATCCACCTGACACCTCGCTCGCTCAGCCCTCACCCAGCATGGTGCTCCAGCTCCACTGCGCCACACCGACCATCTCTCCGCCTGCCGCCCGCCCCTGCCACCTCCACCTCCACGGCGCCAGCGGAGCGCTCCCGCACCCAGCGCGCGGCCTCGGGCACCTTCCCCGCCTCCTCCTCGTCAGCGTCAAGGACGCGCGCGCGGACGGAGCGGTCTGCCACGTGAGGCGGCAGGTGCGGTACGACGAGGACGACGAGGAGGAGGACGAAGAGGAGTGGGGCCACAACGAGGACGTCGCGAGGATGGAGCGGTACACCGAGGACGCCCGCGACCAGGCGCTCCTGGTGAAGGCCCGGGTTGACGACGAGGTCGAAGTCGTGCTCGTCTTCAGGGTACCCGGACACTGACCTTATTTATCACTGTACAACGTTGTGGGGGCATTGGTGCATTTCAGTTTTTCCTGAGCTGCCACGATGCCACGATGGTGGACGCATTGCGGGCGGCTGCCTAGTGGGTCGGCGCAGCTGCGCAGGCTGTGGCTCTCGTCAAGACAAGACCCATGGATTCTGTCGCTGACGCGTGATCTCGCTCCGTCGCAGGGCTTCTCGTCGAACTTAAGCGGGGGAACGGCCGCGGATCCGTCGAGGAGCGTCCTGCCGGAGAGGGCGATCATACAGTCGATCGACGTGGTGAGGGGGCCGTTTGACCCCAACAACATCGAGTACCTGGAGAAGGGAGTGGAATGGGACGACTTCAGAGCCGCCTGTGATAGCACTAGCTGCCGTAGCAGGAAAGAAATGCACTGCAAGCATTCTTCTGTTGTTCTTTAAGACCATTTAGTCTTCAGACTGATCAGAGGTCACGGAATGGTCGTCCAAACCCAAATGGGCAAATGTCTTGAGCCCACATATGAGAAAATATTTTTTTGGAAAGAAGTACCCATCTGAACCCCGTGCAGTGCAAATGCTACCAGGATCGGGAATACAAAACGTCCCACGCAAGTAAAGCACTTCGATCGAACAAGGCGGCAGTGGGGAGCCCTAGCAGAAGCGGCAACCTGCGCCGCAATTCGAAGAAATGGCAGCGAAGCAATTCGCTCCGGTCCACCCCTCCCCCAAATTTACATATTCTTCAGCAAGGCTTTGCTCCGATCAACACCCAAATTTACATATTCTTTAGCAAGGCTTGGGATACATACTCCTAAGCACGGAAGGAAAAGAAAGCCCAAGCAGCTGAATCTACCTTTCCTTTACTTCGCCAGCTAGATCACTCCCATTAGTCGTCATCATCTTGCTTTGGTTGGTTGCTTGCTCCATAAAACAAAAAAAACCAACGCGAAGCTACCAGCCAACGAGCACAGTTTTCTTCTGAACTGAACTCATTCCAAGTCCAGGGCTCCAAAGCTCGCCTCCTGCTATCTCCAGCGACTATCCCATGGGGCTCTGGGCGTCCATGTTGCGATGGAAGGCCAACCGGCGGCGGCAGCAGCCCGAGCCAAGGCGCGGCACGCCGATGGCGCTCTTCGTCGTCAGGAACGACGACGGCCGGCCGTCCAAGCCCGAGGCGGTCGTGTTCCACCCACCACACAGCTCTGGCCGTTCGGGGTTACAGTTACAGAAGGCCGGCAGCAGGAAGCCTGAGAAGCGCGGGTACGAGTACTACGACTGCATGGACGTGCTGGGCAGGAGGCTCCGCGCGCCGCCCGCCGCCCAGGCTCCCGTGCGGGAGCACCAGAAGCGTCGCGGTGGAGCCGGTGGTAACGGCCGGGATAAGGCCGACGGTGTCCAGGGGCGGCACGGCGGACGGGAAGAAGGCAGTGGCAGCGGCAGCAGAGGGGTGCAGGACGCCGATGACGCCGAGGAGGACGCCGATGTGGCAGCGGAGGATACTGATGGGGACGCGGTGCGAGCTTCCACGGTTCAGCGGTGTCATACTATACGACGAGCACGGCCGGCCCCTGCAGAGCAGCTCCCAGAACAGAACAGACCACCTGATGAGCAGAGTAAGCAAATACGAGTCCAAGGTGATGGATACATGGCAGATATTACTTTGAAAACTCAGAGTTGAATAACACATGAATCTTCAGACGTCCTAAAAAAAACTGGGCCCAGAGTTGAATAACACATGAATCTTCAGACGTCCTGAAAATCAAACTGGATTTTTGTTTTGTTTTCCATTTTGGGGGGAATTTTGAATGGAAGACCAGGGAGAACCATGGCCTTGTTTTGACAAAAAGAAGACTGCCAGGACAACTACAACTCTCAGGGACCTCCTGTAGTCAGCTAGTCACATGTTATTGCCTCATTACTGGTAGCTAAGTTGCACCTTTTCAAGTACTTCCAGTAAATTAGTGAACTAGTATTTCTCATGTAAACCGTTAACCATCGAAAACACGGAGATTCACGTACTGACGCAGCAGTATTTATCCATACCATGGTCAGTTGGTCATCCTTGTTCCACAATTTCATTTGTTGCAACTGATTCAGTACAATCAAGCAAGCACCTAACAACACTCTCCCACCCAATAAAGTAAAAAAAAACATTATTCTCACTGGGGCAAAACTATTGAGATCATCAAGGCAGTAAAATCAACAAAAGAATACATCTATACTCTTATATCAACCGGAGACCAGATCATCCACGCACAACACAATCGTGTTTAAGGCCAAGGCGGCCAAATAAGCATGTTTGAAAAAAATACTCGAGTGAAAACTGCGTACAAGGCCTCCAGGTTAAATTCAAATGTAAAAAAGAATTGAACATTCAACTGCAATCACACGTGTGCTGCTGTGGTTGTACATTCTACATTTCAGCTGTAGCTGTCACAATTCACAAGCCAATCATTTCCATGCGACTGAGTCGATCTCATTCCTTGCAGATTTGTACAGCTCTAGCCTCTTGACCAAGGCATCCCTCTTCTCCATCAAAGCAGGGTCCTCATCCAACATCGCGCTCAGCTGTTTCTTCTGGATTATGAAAGCAAAGCAAATGAGGGAAAGATAACTTCATTCAATGTCCAATATCGCGCTCAGCTGTTTCCAAGTAGTATTGCATAAATTGGAGTAATCAGGAATATGTAAAAATCTTTCAAGAACCATTTGCTAAAATGAAACGATCTAAACCGGATTAATTAAAAATAAGGGGAAACTGAACACTACACCCAGGTTCTCTGAACCCTGTGGAAACTGAACACTACACCCAGGTTCTCTGAACCCTGTGATCAGCTGGTAGCAAGAACAAGCATCAGTGAGAACAAGTACACAAACTACAAGAAACCAGGGCTGTCTACATATCAAATTCAACAAAATTGATGTTTAATAAAATTTGTTGTGCATGCCCAACCAGTGCGGCCTTACAAAACAATTAAATGATGTGAAAAAACAGTAGTCAGTAAACCAAGATTTAACTACAAACGCAAACACCTGTCTTCAAATTGTGTACAAAACAATGTACTTAGTCAAGGAATCAGGGTAAACATACCTCCTTGCTTCCCACATGAGCATAGAAACGGTTAAGCAAATTTCTTTTTGCCTCTTTCACTTGACAATGTACAATGGCTTTCGGAATTGTGTTCCTCAGAGTCTCACAGACCATGTTAATATAAGATGACACATTCGATCCTGACAAGGAAAAGAAAATAAAACAACAATCAAGCCATAACTAGTGGTACATCATAATGCATGCGACTAATGCAGAAACTAAACTCCAAGATGAGCTAATACAAAGGACCATGGTACTACAATCATGTGTTTACGTAGAGAAAAAAAGCAAAACGCCACCCTGATTGCTCCCTAGGTTAATGTCAATATCATATTCCACAATGCACTGGAGATATAGAAGCGTAGTTACAACCAACTGTTGGGAAACCAACAGGGCTGATAAAGTACTTCCTATTATTTAATCTTGCGTTTCTACTGATGGATAAGAAATTAAGAAGTGGTTGCACATTTCTGCTAAACCAGATGTCCTTTTTCTACAAATCTACAAAGAGAGAAAGGAAGGTGAATTTACCAATTCTTCTGAGATGATTGTCCTGATATCTATCACTCACTGGAGTGTTCTTATCAGCTGCTTTCTCTGGTTCAGTAGGAAGTTTACGGAAAAACTCTACTGTTAGGTAGCTGGCTTCCATCTCCACTAGACGAAGAACAGTCTTTCGTCCGTCCTCACGGAATCTTTCCAGGCTATCGTTTGCAGCAGCAGCTATATCTGATTGAAGTGTTGGGAATCGCTTCAATTCCTATGATACCAAAGACAATATGGGATTAACCAGTAAGACAAAACAGTAAGACAACAAGAAACAAAGGAAGGTACAAAGAAGGCAACCTCTGTTGCTGCAATCGATCTCCGAACAAGCTCCTTTAAGACCAAATGGACCTGTAATATGAGAACATCATTAGGGCTTCTCCTCCAGTGGCAAAGAAAAGCAAACCCTGAGCTGGCGAGGGAGCAAACCATATCAAATCAAACTACTGGAATATTCAATGCATGAGCAGGTGAGAGCAGAATCAACACTTATTTATGAGTCAATGTAATGTAAGTGCATTAAAAATTATTTTGGCTGCCAAAAGTTTTGACCACAGGACTACTTCCAAGACATCATAGCACTGTTTTCTTCCCTTAATCTTATTGTGGGGGTCTACTTGCGGGCGGAGTGATTGTTCACGAGCAATTTTTTTTATACCAGGGCAGTACACATGGTGGCAATGAACCGATGCAACCACCACCAATGCCCTTAACTGCATATAGTGACCAAGATCCTGTGAAATATAGCTTTAAATAAAATTCAAATGACCAAGAAAACATGGATATTGACATTTTTCTTCATCAAGCAACAACGTAAAAAATTCAATTTAGCATCAAACCAACAGCTTGTACTTCGCTTCCATCACATTTCAGAACATCACTGTCACACTGCATCACTTGAACGTGACTTCATTCAGTCATTGGGACATCCCTAGACTAGGGTCATGCTGTCATGGTAATAGTGTGCACATCATATGATTTTGGCAGCAAGGCCAATGAGCCTTTAATTTCAGCTCTTTTTTGATGATTCCAAGACCCCAAGCGATTCCCTATTTTTTCTCATGTGCCTATCTAATAGCAGTAACATTGCCAAAGTTTTTACCAGCAGACAGGGGTACATGTACACCAACAGTTATGAATGTAATGGGTGGATAATACAAGAATATATAATATCGGATATTAGGATACGAAATTACTAAATGTATACACACACTTATGCATCAACTATTCAAACATGAACTAGAACACTACAAGGAGATATGCATCAACATAGAAGTCATACCGCATCAACAGACGCTTCAGCTGGACCCTTAAAGTAGCTTAGAGAACTATCTATAAGCCTTCTGTATCCTTGCTCAGGGGCAATCAAGTGGGGCTGGTAACCATCAGCCTCTGAAATAACTTTACGAACATTTTGCATTGAAAGATGTCGGTCAAATGGAAGCTTTTTCAGTGCTGCAGGTAACTGGTTGTCAAAGACGCCATAAATTCGATCTCCACCTGGCCGCCTGAGAAATAAGGTAGTAATGGTTAAGTGTAAGTTAATTATCAACATCATTCCTTAAAAATGCTCTATCTTAACAATACATATAAGTATGATAACTTGTCAACATACATCGGCAATAATCATGGAAGGCACAAGAACATTATGGAAAAGGCCAATTGAATATCTTACCCGCCATCTAAGTGCTCTTTAAAGACACGGTCAAATGCACGACACATATCCAAGATTGTGTACAACTGAGCCTGCAGATTATGGGAACAATATGAGAGACATACACCATAAACAAGATTTATAGAAATGTATAATGCACAGTGGCATCATCCCTGCAAATAAATAATGCAGCTTGTGGCACAAACCACCGACAATGCATATGAATAATTCTCGCCACAACGTAACAGAGATCATTAAAAAATACAGTAATTCTTACCCCAGCATCACCTCCGATTGGCCTACCAAGTCGATCCAACTCGGCTTCTATTTCATCAATTGTTTTGTTAATCATGGCTATAATACTTGGAATTTTGGCCCTGATAACAGCCTCTAAATGCTGGATAAATAAATGGAAACACATCAGCAGTCAGCATAAGAAATTCAAAAGTTTATGGTTAGAAGCATGCCACAGCAGCAAAATGCCCTCACCTGTGACAGAAGCTTGGCAAGATACTCTGCACCCATTTTATGTGCCAAGTGACCATATTCCGGACTACTCTCAAAGTACTCTTTCTCTTTGCGTCTTGCTGAGAGCATATCAACATTCTTGTTGATATCAGCTTGTGAGCGATTGACAATTCCAACCCAGGGGTGTTGTAAGCGATATTGCCTCCCTTCAAGTACCTAGGATTCCATGGAGAGAGGAACTTTTAGTACTACATACATGGAGGATGAGGAAACAAGAATTGAAAAGTGCCATACATCAACGGCATTGGTACCCTTGTCCATCAAATCAAGCTTTGTTAAGACTCCAAAAGTCCTGTCACCTTAAGATGTTAAGAGAAAAAAAATATTAATATATATGATTGGGACTGCACTGACTATTAGGTACGCCAACAAAATGGTTTATCGGTAATCCTGTCTAATGGAAAGTGTGATTTCAAATTCTGTAGGGAGAAAAAAAAATCAAAACTGCACCTGAAGGATCAACATCCCTAGCAAGCTTGATAGCGTCTGACGTTGCTATATCTTGGTTAGCTGGGGAGATAGCCAAGATGATGCAATTTGGCTGAAGTTTCCAGAAAAAAAGAACAGAAGTAAAAGAAAATATTAGGTTTGAAAAATGTGGCGAAACATAATATACAGCTCATGATTTTCTGATCTAGTTATGTGACTAGAGTGAAATACACAAGTCTATCTGTAAATTCATAGTGCCCAGATCAGGGAAAATAGTGCTCACAAGTCAATGTAAGCTAAAAAAAGGATAATACCGGAAATGGGCTACATATGCCACAGAAAATTCAAGGAGTACAAGTAACTCAAGTAAGCATCACACCATGGTTTATGAGGCGTCGCCTAGGCGACAAGGCGTGGTAGAGGTGCTGGGCATCGGGGTCGCCACGACCTCCGCGGGTATGGCGTCCGCCTCATAGGATTAGGCGTCGCCTAGGCGCGAATGGCGTCGGGCAGACGCCTACAGCGCCGCAGGGGACGCCGGATGCGATTTTGCAGGGAATGGATGGGAAATCGACCATGGGTGGGCGGGAAATCGAGCGCGCGTCCGTGCCAGAAGACCCGCGGCGGGAAGTGAGCGCATATATGCTCTTGCGCGGGAAATTTCCCGCTCGGTGGCATTTACTGCGGATGAGGGCAGCTTCACGGGGAGAGAGGGAGAGGAAAAGAGAAGGCCGAGGGCGGGAACTCTTGGCGGCAGCGGCGGCGGCCCTGCATCTCCGCTTGCTGCTCGTCTGCTCGAGTCCAGCGGCTGCCCGCATCTCCCACGAGGCCGCCCCTGCATCTCCGCCTGGCTGCGCAAGTCCACTAGCGGTCCGCACCTGCTCGCCCGTCTCCGTCGACTGGCCGGACCTGCACTCGTCGGCCGTCTCTGTTGCTGCTCGCTCCGCCGCGTCGACCGTCTGCCGCCGTGGGCACCGACGCCTCGCCCGCGCCTCCCTCCTCTGCCATCCGCAGGTCCATCCGCTTCGAGTCACCGTCCGCAGGTCCATCCGCACCGCACTTGTCCGTCCGCCTCGTGTCTTGGCCGCCTGGTATGTCCCCTGCCTCCTCTCTGTCTCTGGTCTCCCAAAGGCCAACTCCCAGGCGTGTACTCTTGTAGTGTTATCTGCTCTTCGTGCTCTGCTTTTGCTCTGAATATAGTATGCCTTGTGCTCTGCTGCTCTGCTTTTGATCTGAATATTGTATGCCTCGTGCTCTGCTATTGATCTAAATATTGTATGCTCATGTTGCATGCCTGTCCCTGCCTCCTCCCTTGCTCTGAATATTTATTCTGCACTCTGCTCTGCTTTTGCTCATGGTGTGTGCCTGTATGTACTCTGCTCTGAGCCTCTGAATATTGTAAGATGAACTGCTGATGCCTGCTTTTTATATTATATGGGTTGTCACTCACATATACAAATGGCTGCTTGTGCTTGGGCTGTCACACACCCTGCTACAACACAAAGCACAAGGATCTTTCTTTGATTAGTATAATGTCTGCCTCTGCCATAGTTCCATTCACTTGTGTTCTTTCATTAGTTTACTGTTGTACAGAACAAAAAACATAAGGCTCTTGCTTTGATTAGTTACTTATTAGTAATGCTTTTGCTTTCTTTTATGCAGCATCCAGCAACATGGCAAGCTCAAGTGAAGCACCTGATTATGATCCCAAGACTGATCCAGCAAGGAAAGTGAAGTCCAACGATCCAGGCTGGAAATATGCCTACTGGCAGGACCCTGCTAGGAGAGACTGGGTGACATGTATCCTGTGTGGAAATGAGGCTTCAGGAGGCATAAAGAGGTTCAAGCAACATTTGGCTGGTGGATATGGAGATATTGTCCTTTGTCCAAAAGTTACCACTGAAATCAGGAAAGAGATGGAAGCTTACTTGCAAAAGAAGAGAAGAAGGCCTTTGTTCTTGGATGGTATTGAGGAGGAAGATGGGGAAGATGAAGTTGTGGAGGTGGCAGCAGCAGATGTACAAGCAGGAGCAGATGGGGGTGCAACACCAAAACCGGCTGCAAAAAAACCAAGTTCTAGGACAGCCGCCAAGAGAAGGCATGCTACCTATCAATTCAAGGCTTCAAGACCTAGCAATGGCAATTCTTTTGTGGACTATTTGAGACAGACTATGATGTCATTTGTCATGCTCATGCATGCACTAATGCTTGCTAATTTGTTATCTTGCCTCTTGTGTATTGTTTCCTATTTAATTCTCAGCAACTGATAACCTGTTTGATTGCTGAATTCTGTAATTGTCATGCAGTTTCCTTCAAGGGGGATGGATGCTACATGGGAGAAGAGCTTTTGGAAAGGAAAGAAAGGAACATGGGCTCAAGAATTGGCAACAAACGAGGTATGTATGTGCCGCACTAGTATATAAAATTCTAGCTTACAACGCCTTACAATGTGTGTATGGCGTCGCCTAGGCGTCCGCCACAAACGCCTAGGCGTTGTGAAGGGGGTCGGGCGCCGCGTGCATCACACTATAACTAATAGCAACCAACAGAGATGATTTCCTTTACCTTGTCAACGTAAGATCGAACCATGTTTTCAATATCTTGAACAATAGATTCTGGTTGCCCCTCTGTAGTAAAATGGTGCAGGTACCAAAAGTTAAATAATAGAAGGTATGGTTACCAAAACCAAAGCAACTAATTCATCAACTGAGTCATTACCTACAGCGACCTTTGTCAGTCCAGGAAGGTCAATAAGTGTCAAGTTAACAACTGCAAACAGAAATGTGACATTAATCTACAGACAGTTCAAGGGATACGGAACATAAATGTACTCACTGCATATAAAACTTCAAGTGACATAATAAAGCTAACATAACAAGCTATAGTTCTTTTTTCTTTTTGGTAATTGTGCTTCAGGAACAGGAATCAGAAAGAACCATGAGTCTACATATGTGGCTATTACTTTGAGGCATACATACACCTTGAATAGAAAACAGGACACAATATTTTGGACAATCTAGACCCACCAAACCAGAATCGCTCAATTCGATATCATAATGCATAGAAGATTTAAGAGGTTTTGCCATCACTCAATCCTGAGTAAAGTTAATCTTAAAAGTTTTAGTGCACAGATGACTCATACTATCTCACACCATTATTCTGACCTGACCTCTGTGTACCCAGAAAATCAACAAACACAAACTAAACTATTTCAGAGCATTGCCTATGCCAATTCCATGAACACCTACAATATCTATAGGTTTTACTGGAGGAGCAAAATCAATGAAATCTTCAAATAAGAAATCCGTTGATTCTAAAACCAACGTTCGAAACTCTAGGTCCACCACACCTACCATACATTAGTTGATATTATCTTTGATCCCTTCATGCATTACTTGTATTATCTTTGGTCACATTAAATAAGGTGTCCTAAATCCTAATGCCTAATCTCATATTCGTTGAAGCTTGGAATAAATCAACCAGAAATCAGAAATTCAGAACAAGAATCAACACTTACCATGTGGCGAATATATACTCAAATGGATGGGAACATTTGAAATAGCTTTAGTTTTCCCAGTTATGCGATCTGTTTCATCGGCAATCTCTTTCCTCACAGCAGCTGCAATTATATGGATATAACAATAGTTTAACTAAACATATCCAGCAAATATACAAAAATGGAAAGAGGAATTCAATAACAATTAACAAATACTCTGGCATCTCATTAGTAAAACATAGACATAAATGGAAACGTAAATAACTATCAAAGCTCCATCAATGAACTAGTACACAGATATTTCTTTCATGAACTAGTCACAATTAGTTCCTACCAGCTATCTCACATGACATTTCTCATTCTTTTTTAAATACAGTGAATAGTTTTTTTTTTTGGTGGTATCTGATCTACAGCGCACAATAAGATAAAACCACTGCATTTCGTCCATTTATGAAAAAACAAAGCAACTAAGGTAGAGTAAGGCTATATGCAGTGCAAATATTTCTTGAATGTGTTGTGCGATATTTTTTACATCTCACTGGTTGTAAGTGCAATATGAAGGGCAACTCCTAATATGCCCTGTTGCTCTTAAATATTATGCCATGCTAGCTATTACTGGAAGCATGTAATAGTAATAGCACCATACATTAATATCATAACTCATAGAAATATAGAATACGAAGTCATTTAAGTACATAGATTTCATCCAATCTTTGGGAAGACGGATGATGCACAATGTTCCATGTGTATCTGTTTTATTTAAGTCCAACCATAAGCTTCCCAACAAGCAGACCGTAATCTTAGTAGACTGCCCTAACAGAATTGAAGACAACAAGTAAATTGCTGAGATGAATAATGCAAAACGTTCGTCTTACCAAAGTCGGTGATCCGCTTCCGCGGGGCGTGGAGGAACTCAGCATACTCGTGCCCACCATCTGTTTTGTGGAGCTGCAGCACTAGAGGCCGCCTCGTGACAATACCTAATCAAACGCAAACTGAATCCTTAAGCACCCGAGCGGACCCAAATCGAACGGCACGCGCATGATCTAGCGGCAGCATTACCAGATCCACGGGGCAGGAAGTCCCTCCCCACTATGCTCTCGAGCACCGACGACTTCCCGGAACTCTGGAAGCATCATCAGAAGAGAAACACGCAACCAAACGATAGCGGTTAGCACGCTGGCCAGATCTGGGGCCTGGCTCCTGAGCACGGCGGATCTGAAGGTGGTGGGCGGAGCGTACCTGCCCGCCAACGACAGCGACGGAGGGGAGCGCCTCCCAGAGGGAGCCCTCGCCGCCGCCGCCGCCGTGGTCGCCGAGGACGGTGCACGCGCGCTGGATCCGGTTCACCAGCCCGATCAGGCTCCCCATAGTCGCCATCCCGGGCGAGGCCGCACGCGAAGGTTCGCCCGCGGCTCTGTGTCAGGCTGCGGTGCTCGTCAGCGGCGAGCGGCGAGCGGCGGGTGGCGGTGGGATCTAACTAGTGGGAAACAGATGAGAGAATTGCAGCGACAGATTTTAAAAGCGAGCTTGTAGTTTTGCTTGCAAGGTGCCGACGGTCGGGATCGGAAGGATGGGTTGCCTGGACGCGGCGTTCGAGCGCCGGTGCTGGTAAGCTGAGTCTCTGCAGATGGGGACAATAAAACTGTGGGCCGTGACAGCAGTGAGAGAATTTGTTTGAAAGACTCCGAGGTGGGGCCTGCCGTCCAGTTGGTATGGATCGTATGGACATTTGAACGCGTAGAGGACGTGCGGGGGGTGGGCTCGAATGGAGCGGGGCTATGGATCGGGAACCGTTGGATATCAGCAGCCTTGGCGTGGACCCTCATGGTGGCTGGTGCAGTGGTGCCGTGGTTCGTGAGCCTGAAAGGCTGAAACTGACGCTTCAGCAACAGCTAGGCTGGAGCGGTGATGCGGTGGTGACAAAGCTTGATTTGCAGTGAAATTGTAATTTTATTTCGTGATTTATGCTAATTTAGAACACCAGGACGGGGATGCTGACATTGTCTTAGCAGGGACAGCATGTCAATATGCAAGATAAAGGAAAATAAGTCCTCCAGGTCTAGGTTATTGATACATTCCAAGAAATGTTACTGTCCGTGACAAGTGACTCCAGTAGTCGAGCTTAACCACCAATCGACGTTACAACTAACAGTCGCCCCACCGTTTCCTCGCCGCAACTCTGAGTAATGGCAACACAAGTACACAGCATCAATTCGACCATACGACTGACACGGTATCGCGCTCTCACCATGACATTGACACCATCCATCCAATCGAAACAATCGTGCTGTTTGGTTCCCGTAGTTGTAACGTAATCCGATAACGCCGGTAACAGATAACGTGTGATCCTGTTTGTGTCAGTCCAACTGTAATTCGGCTACTATGCCGGTAACAGATAACGTGTGATCCTGTTTGTTTCAGTCCATGGTCGATCACGCCGCTATTTGATTCCCGCCTGTAGAAATTTGTTGCCCCTTTCACAAGAGCGTGAATCGTCACCTGTGAGTTCTCTTCGCCGCTTCGCATATTCTGCACACGAGGCATCCTCCGCTCCGCATTTTTTAAGGCGCATGCCCCAAGACGGAAGCCGATGCCTTGCTTCCTTTCCATTCCGTTACCACCACGAAAACAAACAGCACCAATGTAACAGAACATTACACCACACAAATTCTCAATTTCTTGTCACATGATACGCATTCTGTAAAATAAAGCTTGGCGCTTTCACAGACACAGTTTACTTTACATGGCACGAAGGAGGTTTAATATGCCTTCATCTATGCTTCAGTTACAATTCTTGTCATACACAAAAAAGAAAGAACATTCAGATCTTACTCAAATCTGTTGATAACTCAATATTGCAAAGAGACAAGGGTTTACACTTTACAGCAGTGATGCAGTCCAAATCACAATTACATAATTATTATCAGATATTTAGATAACATATTGGTTATCATTATTTGACAAACTCTAGGTGCCGCAAACCGATAAATTGAGATCACGAAGCACAACAACAAAGATACACAACTGATACACTACATGATCTGGATAAACAGATGGCACACTGAAGCTACATTTGGTGACAGCTTCATTTCAACTTTAGAAGAAACTTGCACCTTCTACCTTGCAGCAGAATCTTCCTTGAAAAGTGTCACCAACTTATGGGAGCAAAGCCATATGACATTAGACATTTGGGTCACGCAACAGCAACCGGTATATCTCATTGTTGTGCTCTGACATGTACTCGTACCCGAGATTATCAGCATGACTCTTGAATTCATCAAACTCTGCTGGCGGCACTTGTATACCAACTAATACATTTGCTCCAGTTTCACCCTGCACAAGAGAATTAGATCAGATGACGAAATTATATAATTGCAACCCTTGTTGGTTCTCTCCATTGTTTAGTATCATCAATACAAATACACGTCCCAGAACAACTTCAGCAAGGCATACGTTTTTTTTTCTCATGTTTGAAATGGAAAGGGGCATATGATCATTTGAAGAGCAGAGATGTTTTTTCTGTTCAGGTTCCGGCTTTCAAAGAAGTGAAAAACGATCATTGTTTCATATTATGAGATTGCATAATAGACACTATTATAAGAAGGCTACAAACAAAACTCATCATGTACCTGTGCACGGTAATGGAAAAGGCTGATGTTCCAACGAGGGCTGAACGTGTCCAAAAATTTCATAAGGGCCCCAGGCCTTTCTGGGAAAATGAACCTGTAAACCAGTTCATCTTTTATTTCTGATCTGCCTCCAATCTGAAAAATTGATAATGTGAAATCACGAACAAGATAGCAGAAATTTGCACAAAAATGGACGCTAGGTAAGTAAAACAATTTTGATAGGTCCTATGTCACACAATGCAAATCCAGTTAACTATTGTCATATTAACACTGAAATGAACTAAAATTACAATTGATCTCTTTGACAAAATAATTTGCCAACAGAGTGTGAAAGATGCAACTTACAAAGTATCTAAGGTGGTCCTTTGCCAAATCATTGTCAGTAAGGTTAACAGTCCTCAGTTTCGCAGATTCCATGTGATCCACCATTGCTCCAAGCTCGTCGTCAGTGTAGATGCCAACACTGTTACAGATAATAACGTAAGCATCTAAGCTAACCGTTGCTGTACATACTAATAAATAAAAATCTCAGATAAATAAACTAAAAATATATATCTTAGTCAAGGTAAAGAATTTTGGTAGTTTGATATGGATACATAATTAAAAAGAAAAACGACAAACTTTGATATGTACCTGTAAAGAACAAGGGCATCTTTTGCATTAGAATCGTATCTGTATTTGAATTCAGTAATATTCATCCTGCCAACCTGCAGAATGAGAAATCATAAGACAGGAAATGGATCTTAAACTTATATGTTGGCAGAACTACCTCATAAGGCATACCAATTCTGTGAATTTTTTGAAGCTTCCCTGCTCCTCTGGCAGAAATGTAGCTAACAATGCTTCCCGTTTTCGGCCAACATCAGCTAGCTCAGTTACTAGTCTAAGTCGATCAAAGTTCATATTTGCCCCACTAGTTATTGCAACCACATTTTCTCCTTTCAAGTTATAGTATTTGCAGTAGGCTTCAGCCCCAGCCAATGCAAGGGCACCAGCAGGTTCAAGGATACTTCTTTTCTCCTCAAACATATCCTGCACACATGAAAAGACATATTTCAGCACCAAGAATATAGAAGGATCAAAATGCCATGTACAATGCAGATGCAGCATTGGTGAAGAAGGATGATAGGAGTATGAATGTAAGATTGGAATGCAATAGACATTGCATAATATTTATGCATCCTATATTCCTATATGTGTATCCATAAAACCCCAAACACCTCACTAAATTATACAACACTCTACAAATCACAGGAATTGATGCTAGATTACAGAGTTAATGACATAACATTATACAACATTCCACCTAGATAGTGTTTTGAACATGTAACTTAAAAAAAAACTCATGACTGGGTGGTTTATATTGACAGACCACTGCAGCAGAGAATACTGGTGCAACAAAATTACTATCTTCCTTTTCTTGAACATTGTATACTGAGCTCGAAGTGAGTTCAGACTATAATTTTTTTTAACAGTGTTCAGTAAAACACCCATATGTGTAGTTCTCACCTTTATGGAAGCACAAATAGCATCTCGACTGACCATAACAATGCCATCTACTAGCTCTCTGCACAGGCGAAATGTTTCCTCCCCAACAGTTTTGACAGCTACACCATCAGCAAACCCACCAACATGCTCCAACATGACCCTCTTACCATGACACAAGGATAATGCCATTGCATTTGCATCTGAGGGTTCCACCCCAATTATTTTCACCTGTACAAAGAAAAATGTTTCAAAAACATTCCAAAAAATATCAGCCTGACTAGAAACCAATGTAAGATCCAGAAAGAAATTACATTAACAAGATTGATCCAATATGAAATGATTCAACTTAAAAATGAACTTAATATATCAGGGACACGCCAGTCTCCATGAAGGTGTGTAAAGAAACTTTGTTGTCTTCAGCATAGGATTTTTAAAAGAAAAAAGAAATGGTAAGATGGAAAGCAGACCTCTGGGCGAACCCGTTTTACATAGGCAGCAATTCCAGCAATTAATCCACCACCTCCAACAGGTACAAATATTGCATGCAGTGGACCTTGCAGCTGCCGAACAATTTCCATGCCGACAGTTCCTTGTCCAGTGATGACATCAGGATGATCAAACGGAGGTATGAATGTGCGGCCTTCCTGCTGACATCGTAATTTTGCATATGACTGAGCTTCATCATAAGAGTCCCCCTCAAGGACCACCGTTGCACCCAACCTCTCCACTGATTTCCACTGGAATTAAGGTGTTGCATTATAAAGTGAGCACTAAAGTAAACTGAATCATGTAAAGGGGTGTCTTAAGTTCAGCATCTAAAGATCAGAAACCTTGATTTCTGGTGTTGTCACGGGCATGACGATGACAGCATCGCATCCCAGTCTCTGAGCGGAAAGAGCAACACCCTGGGCATGGTTTCCAGCAGAGGAGCATATGACGCCCCTCTCTAACTGCTCACGGGGGAGCTTTGCCATCATGTTGTATGCTCCCCGCAATTTGAATGAGAACACCTGTACAACAAGCAAACAAAATATGAGGAAAGTAAAGAAAACAAAAAAGTAGAATAGCAGTTTTCAATGAATTTGGAATAGCACATATAAACGCTAAATACAGTCAAACAAAATTAAATTAGGAACCTTATCATGTATAAAACGTGTGTATGGCAAAATACTAGATAGGGAAATTATCTTTGAATATGCATATAAGGGTTCCCTCTTCTTGAAAAAATATGCAAATAACGTCCTTTCATTATGGTTTTTGCTGTTGCTAATAACACAAAAAATATATATATACAGGTACAAATTCTCAAGACCCTGAATCATGCTGCACAGTTCACAAGTCTAGCCTGTTGAGCTTTGAGATTCTAAAGAAACTAAAGCTCCTATAGACTTGTGGAATCAAGTTTCACAGACTCTGTAAGCTACCAAAAAAAACGTACACCTCAAGGTTTCAGCACTCCCAGTATCAGCGATAATAAATAACAAGTCAAAAGTGCAAAATATCCTGCAACGTCTATTCTCCTTGGAGAAAGCGTGACAAGAACGTATCAAAGCCAAAGTGGAGAATTAAAGGGAATGTCTGAGTACCTATCCCCGTGATTCTGCGAATCCAAGCATCCCGTTGGAACCCGGTTAACAGCATAACACGACAGTACCAAGGTAAACCCCCAAATACCCAACAGATGACACCGAACAAGGTCACAGGCGAGTGCAAATCTATCCCACAAACACAAGTAGCAGCTAAAACATCCAACCCCAGCATTTCCAAGAAATGATGCTGTTTTCTGGGAATAAAAGTACGCAAATATCCACGTCAAGCCAACCAAAAAAAGGTGGCGGGGTAAGCAAACGAAGGGCTGCGCATCGTCGTCGATTACCGGCTGCAGGTCCTCGCGCTTGATCCAGAGGTTGACCCCGAGACGGTCGGAGAGCTTGGTGGCGAGCTGCAGCGGCGACTCAATTGCGACGTCATACACCTTGGACGACAGCACGCTGGTGAGGTACTCCATCGCGCCGGGGCCTCCTCCTCCCCCTGCGGCGTCCCCGAACCCCTCCGCATCCGCCGCGCCCGCGCCGCGCTCCCGAAAGCCCGCCACGAGGCACCCGCTCTCCCGCTGCAGCGACTCCGGCGCCACCCGCACCATCGGCGTCGGCGGCGGCGCCGGGACGGCCGCGAGCCCCGCCTCAGCGGCCGTCGTCGCCGCGGCGGCGGCGGCTACGCAGGAGGGCCTGCGCGCGTCGCGGCGGAGGGAGGCCGCGGGGAAGGAGGCTGAGGGCGAGGTGGCGGTGGCGGTGGCGGTGGCGGTGGCGGCGGCCGCCATGGTGTGGTGCTGGTGGGTGGTGCCCTCGTCGAATTCCTCTGATTTGTTTTCCTCTCGTTATGCGTCGGGTAAAGCGGAATGCGTCGTCACAAAAGTCACAGGCGCGGGATGATATGTGATGTGGCGGGGGGCGGGGCAGAGGAGGACCTGGGTCGCGGCCTCGTGCCTGTGGGGGCGTGACCGCGTGAGGGAGGGGTGCAGTGGAGGCCGGGGCCCGCGTGGGATCAAGGCGTCAGGATCCCCGTATCCGTCCGCGACTTCGCGCGCGCCACTGTTCCTTGGCTTTACTACGGTCGTTTTCCGCGGCATGCTTAACACGAGCTCGACGAGACCGGCCGTCGGCGGCTCCGCGAGTACTGCCTGTACGGGCTCCGCCGGAAGTCAGAGGCCGTGCCGCCCGCCGGCGGCTACACGGCGTTGGTGCCTTCGACAATTTCAGCGTCGACAGCTAAATTTCAGCAGTGCTTTTCAGCGAACGAAAAATATTTTCTCCTCATAATAAATTAGAATAAGCATCAATATAAGTTAAATTTCAGCGAAACCCGGGCGCTATCCTGTACTAGATTGGGCTTAAGCCTACCTTGCTACTAGATTTGACATAAACATAAAACACACACACCATGGATTAGTCTAGAGCGAGCTTCAATCTCAACATTTGCGACAAAATACATAACATGAATTATATATGTGCGTGTTTTTATGTTTTAAAACTTCAGCATATGTTTTAGATGAATTTTCACCGTTTCAACATTGTTCCATTTTCGCTAGAGACTCATGGTGGTCTCAGGACTTGAATCACGATTGAACTTTACTACATTGTTTTACTTGCCCCGGGTCTAGGCCTTCTACGAGCAAGAGGAGAAGAGAGCTTTACCTGCCCCGGGCCCCGGGCTTCTATAAGAAAGAGGAGAACATTGTTTAGTTTCTGGCTTATGAGTGTTTTATTTTACTAGGAGTAGCATCATAATGTGTAGACATTACACGATACTTTCAGATTTACCAAGTTTGGTCTATAATTTGATTATATGTCTTGATTTACCTTTGGATGATGATTGGGTGTGGCGTAGGTTAGCAGCGGCATGAGTTCACGCATAGTAGTACATCCTATGTATTGCCATGTTCGTTTCGGCTTGTTTGGCTTGTTTCCAGTCAACGAACAATATTTTTCTCTCACACCGAATCAATCAATAGTACTTTCAGTCATGGCTTATAAGCCAAACACGACCAAGCGAACGGACTATATGCCTATGCTATCCTGCCGCTGCTAACCTACGCCACAACTACATAGCATGTGAATTCACTCACCAAAATACAATTGTCTACGACGCAACTAATCGGCTTTTATTCTCCTATTCCCTACCATTACAATAGATTGCTTTTAAACTAACAGAAGTTCGATGGAGCTAACCATGTTACATGTGACCATCACGTTTGGCTATTATACCAGCTATTTTGGTGGATGGCATATTGTTAATTTCAGATTCCGATGGCTGTTGCCTCTACCAACAGAAAAATGGAATGCAAGATGATAAGACTGACGAGATCAGGACTCCACTAGACACATGAAAAAAACAATGATACCTCTCTTTTAGTAGAAAAGTATAACAGTACACAAAGGAAATTATCAGTTAGATCAGCCCTTTGGCACGTTTTAAATGGTAGGTAATGAATCAAGGGAAGGGAAAAAGGGCTGCATTTCGTCCATACGGCCAATAGTGTGATGCTGTTCTGTACGCTGAGGAATCAAAATTCAGCATCAATCATCACAATACTTGGAATGCAATGCAATGAAAAAAAAACTTGGATTCCCCTAGTAATGATATTTGTAAGTCGAAGAACAGACAACAGAGTGGCAATCAGTATAATGCGGACAGCGAGCATCCGTGCCAATTTCTGAAAAATATATTGGCTCTTGTCCATGTGGAGTCGCGAGCAGATACTAGTATGTAAATCACATATGAATGTGTGATAGTAACTGTGATGCAAGTGCGGATTTGAACTCATGGAATCTTCGTATCATGTTTAATGAGAAACCCTGTGTGAGCTCCTCATGTCATCCGTAGACCTTTTTGGACCTTTAAACGAAGCATCCAACTGCACGACACAACTCCGCTCGGCTTATCCCATATCCGATTTATTTGACTTCTTTTTTCAGATGAATTGGTATTTTTCTCTCACAACAATTTAGCCAGAACAGTATTTTTCAGCCAGTTTCAGCCAAAATTCTGCCAGCCGAACGGGACCCGGTTGCGAGAGATATGGAGACATTTTTTCACGAAAAGATTGAAGAGCACATCCAATCTGACAAACCAGGAGACGAGTACTAGGCCTCAAAAGAGCTCTGTTCCTGATTCTGGTGCGGTTCACGCCGAGTTGGAGGAGCAGAAAGCAAGAACCTTTCTGACCCGGTTACGGATTCCTGATTTCGTAATCGGATCCCCGTGCAACGGCCAATGCCCGAGGCGTGCACGTGAAAACGGGTCCCCGTGAAAACAAGACACACATCCCACGCAGCACAGCAGAGGAGGACCGCATTGCGGCTCCAGGTCTTATAATTCAATCTGGATGCAACAAACTCGGCTCAAAGAACGAGCCTTTTACGACATTTGATTATGAGATCCAAAACTGTTTTGAAACAGGGAGGTGTTTTGTTTGCACAGTGATAAACTAAGCAAGATACAGTGCGGTCGTCTACCAACTCTATCTTATCTATAGAGGTAACAATCACTAAAACATGCAAGCATGGCTGCCACGAGGTATTTCTATACTCACCCTGAAAAGGAGCACAAAGGCTTCGCTTTGCTTCACTGAAAAAAAAAAGTTGAAACACTGTTTCGGCTGATTTGTTGTGAGAGAAAAACACTGTTCATGCTGAAAAAACAAGTTGAAAAATATGGATTACAAAAAAAGCGAACAGAAAAATCGAAAGCACAAATGATGGGTGTATTCCAACTGTTTAACCTCTTAATTATATATAAAAAAACTGTTTAACCTCATGGAGTGCTCAGAGCTCCAAACACTTCATGATTTTGTACAAACTACATGGCTGTATTAGTCGTATTTCGCTGCACTCCAGACTCTGAGCATATATCTTAATACAAATTGTTAATTGAATAATCTTTTTCTTAAAAAAAGATGATCAGGGATAGTTACATGATTCCTTCAGATAATGATGCATGTATGATGACAAAAATATCAGACCAATGTATTACCCTGATACAAGTGTTTTACATGTGAGCAATTGCATTATCAGAATACATCTCAGTGACAGATCCCCCACCCCACCCCACCCAAAAGTTTGCTGCTGGGTCCATCCCTAATCTCAATCAATTCTCCAACTGAAATCTGCCACAAATTTGATGATAGAGATCCTCTTTATCTAGATCACAGCAAAAGTACAACTGTTCATGTTGTGGCGGCTAGGCGTATTGGGTAGGAGATTCGAGAGAGAGAGACTGGTGAGCGAGAGGTGGAGCAGCGGCGAGGCAGCGACGCCGTCCTTGGCGTCGCCCACGAGCAGGGGCGCAGGAGAGATTGATCTCAATCTCCAGCTGACTTTCATTAAACCAAAGTGTCGAGTACTTATAGCCAAATCCTAACAACTTCTGCTAACTAAAAGGAATAACTCTCACGGACTAACAACTCCTAGCGCGTCACTGCATGGTCCGTATCTCAGCCACGGCTCCGCTTCCTCTATTGATAATCACTGCTGACCATAACACTTCTCCCCTCCTCGACGAACAGCTCGTCCTCGAACTGAAGGGAAGGGTGCGCCGTGTGGAACGCGTTGACTGGCACCATGAACTTACTAATCAAGTTTTATTATCTTTAACCTATTGCTAATCAAGTATTTAACACCAGGGGTGTTACAATTAGGGTCATAACTCTTTGAGTGCTTTAATCTATAGGACGCTCTAGGTTAGAGTAGTATTTATAGGTGTAAGCGTGGTGCTTAAACCAGGTTACTTGTGGATGTACACTATATTCCATATCGGTGGTAGCTCGCGAGGGTGACTCTTATAGCCTCGTTAAATCCTCTGTAGTCCACCTCCCGTTTGTAGACCTAGCAGGATTTAGTTACTATAGAAAACATACTCTGTCTATGCTTCCCTTAGTAATATCCCTAGTTGAACAATAGAAGACATAGCTTACCGAAGTTAGAACTAGAAGACATTTGTGATCTCCTCTACACTCCTATTATCTTAAGTCTTGTTGCTACTTCGGGTTAAGTTAGACGTAGTTACTCTCACACGTTTTCCTATGGATATGATACTTGGAATACTTCTGTGTGAAAGCTACAGCGGTATCCGTGCGCTTGTGGATTTATCTGTGTGCGTTAAATATACCAACATATGGCAAGTCCAAGTATCTAGCATGAGAACCAAGGGTGTTGAACAAAAGCTTGTACCTTGCTGCCCAAGATAGGTAACACCGATGCTATCCGGGAGAAGTACTATGTGGCCATCAAAAGCATTTTGACGGTACCAAGGTGAACTGGGTTGATTTCCTTGCTGGGGAGCTGATGTGGTGCAAGCATGAGGTTAAGCGTTCCTTGGGTTACCAGCCCTACATCATGGCGTTGGTTAAGCACGTGGCAGCTCTAGAGGGTATTGACGGAGTCAGGCACAAGTCCTTCAGTCCTCGCTCCAACGACCCAGACTTCTCCACTGAGGACATGCCTCAACCCCAGGCTTTGGCAGCCGAGGGAGGTGATTCTTCAGCTCGAGGTGGTGCTTGCAATCGTAGGAGAAATGCAGATGCTGCTGTTTAGGGTTGGGCGCCTCCAGTTGGTTACTTCGAGCTGTTCTTCGAAGGCATCTGTGCTCAGGTCTAAGAGACAATAGCATCACTGGTGGGAAACTTTGACCAGCGATTCAAGCATGAGCGGAGATTCTTGCAGGAGAGCATCATCAATCCGCTGTAGAATTCAGTGAGCACCTTGACCGAGAGGATGGGCTCGCTTGCCACCAGGGAAGAATTGTAGGGAGTCCGTAGTGACG